CCTTTGCCGTATGCACCTGTTCACCCAGCAGTAATTGATGTGATTGTAAACACATTTATTGGAGCAAAGTCTGGAGGGGGGGATGAATTAGGTAAATCATGAGCAGTGAGGGACAGAGAGCTGTGAGGGACAAAGAGCAGTGAGGGACAAAGAGCAGTGAGGGACAAAGAGCAGTGAGGGACAAAGAGCAGTGAGGGACAAAGAGCTGTGAGGGACAAAGAGCAGTGAGGGACAAAGAGCAGTGAGGGACAAAGAGCAGTGAGGGACAAAGAGCTGTGAACCAGTAACAAGTGGCCTGTTACGGCCCTATTGGGACGCAACCGGGTTCTTCTCTGATGTTATTAGAGTTTGGGAATCCGGCCCCAGGTTAGTAGAGGCTTTCAAGGGGTGTGTTCCGAAACGCAAGGTAAATTAAAGGGGGAGGGATACAAATGCTCTGATTTATATATATATTAACCACCACCATAAATAAATATATAACAGTTGCACACGGGGGTTATTACTACACGATTATGTACAAGCGTGTCTTCCTCCGAAGACACAGGATGCTCCACGGTGCTCACGATGAATCCTCTATGATTCTCTTGGCGAATCTACCCTGGCCACAGGCCAGCCAAATCACAGTTCCACTGGGTGCTCCGTCGTGGAGGCCTTCAACCACAAAGCCAGCCTGTAGCTGGCAGGTTCCGATCAGCTCCGCTGTGTAGGCCACTCCACAACCGATACTAGGGTTGCGAGCCCTAGGCAGGAGCCTCGTGTGATCCCGCTGATCACTCTCCTCACTAAGCACCACAGTGGCTAGTCTCTTCCACCAGCCAGCCCCGGATAAGGCGATTCCTGATACTGCCACGTCACAGGCAGGCTAATACTCTCAACAGAGTTCGTCCGAGGGTGACTCACAGCTTCTTCAGCAGACTCGTGAAGAGACCTTGGCTGCCTTGGGTAGACTGATCCATCATCCAATACAGCAGTCCCAGGTCGACTCTGTAATCAGATACGTCATTAGCACTGGGGACGCTCTAGGGAACCTCACTTACAGGCTTGTAAGTGAGGTAAGTGAGGTAAATAGGTGGACACAAACGTCCACCTATTTGCTCCATAGATGGCGTTCACTGTCTAAGCGCCACCTCATTAGAGGTCAGCAGCGGCTATGTTATGAGCTGATTGAGACGGGAATTCAGCACCTGTGGCCGGTATATCCCGTCCTCACTAGATGGCGTTGTCCATTTGGAGTGGGTTTCGGGAGCGGACTCACAGATGGCGTTGTCGTCACTGCTCCGTGCTCCGACGCTGGACTCGGGTCCGTAACATGGCCTAAAACCTCTCCCCTCGTGTTCACTCTTGGACGTCCTGCAGGCTCCCTGGATATATATTCTTATGGTTAAAATAGAATATTTTACTGCAGAGAAAAACCATAAGATAGCTTCAGAAAAGTTAATTACATGCCTCCATCTACACCTACAAAGAGAGTACATGTCTATCTGTCTGTCTGTCCATTCGTCCAAGGTCGGAGGACAGATGCCTGGGGCTAGCCTCACCCAACTTTGCAAGTGGTACGATGCGAAAGGTATATAGCTGGCCCAATCGCAAATAGATTTCTTCATTGGAACGTGATGAAGTAGGATTCAGTATCAAGTGACACTTGGAGGTCTGGTTCAGCTTGAAGGATGAGTTATGGAGAGAGGCAGCAGCAGCTGGGGCCCAGATTCACGAAAACACTTACGAACGTGTACATCTTTCCTCAATCTTTGACGGCTTTGGTTACATTTATTAAACAGTTTACAAGCATGATAACTTCCCATTCAACTGTTGTTATTGTTATAAACAGCCTCCTGGTGCTTCGGAGCTCATTAACTGCATAATAATTGGAAACAAAGCCGCCAAAGATTGAAAAAAAGATGTACAGGTTCGTAAGTGCTTGCGTAAGTGCTTTCATGAATCTGGTCCCTGGCTCGGGAGGAGTGAGAGGAGAGCAGCATCCGTACAAGAATAAAGTGAGTTTTGATTGCAGGTGATGCCCAGGTGAGCAATTTACACAGGACTTTCTATGCCAGAGATAAGGAAAACACGTTACGGAGTTATTACCTGTCCGTATCGGGACTAAAGAGGCATTGTTAACAATATGAGTGATATTATACCTGGAAATGGGAACGTTAGGGAACAGTGCTCACAAGGGTATTAAATCCTTCATAACGGGACAAATTGGTGTGAATGAAGACACTGTATTGGCACCAGGTTTCCGTGAGGCAAATTATGAGGGATTGAGAAGTTTCTTGGGAGGAATAGGTTGGGCAGACACGAACACTGAGGTATCCTGGGCACGTGAGGGCAGTCTGGAGCTGGTGACATATGTCAGTAGATTTCGATGTGGATTCAACCAATAACTCATTTAAACAAATTCTAATTATAGCACATAATATACCGTGTAAATTGATTAGATTGATTAACACTAATCAAAATGAATGATCCCTGAGACTAAAGCACTCCTATAAGAAATAAAAAAAGCTCTATATAAGCGAACTGAAACAAGGAACAGTTCTAGAACAACACTTTATAGGGACACTGTGAAGAACAACTACAACAAAAAATTAGAGAGCAGGAAGAAATTATGAAGTGTGTTTGCTCAGGAAGACAAAAACAAACACCCCGAAGACAAAGGTGTTTGTCTTGTAGCTCCGGACTACAAAGATGAAGCAGGAGACTCCGGCCCTTTGAAAAAAAAAAATGAGTTAAGTCAAGTGTGCTGATAATGACGTTTTAAGAAAGTACTTTGTCTTTTGATTTACTAAAGAAAAAAACTTCCTATTTAACCTGTACATGAACAAATCAATGTAGATAACGACGCGAGTAAATTGAACTGTTTCATCGTTACCTGGAAGGAAGTTTATTTAACAGACAGAACAATTAACCCCAAACGGGTCACCAGGACACTTTTTTTTCGTCAAGAGATCTAAGAGAATGTAAGACGAGCTAAACGGACGCTTGACGTTTATATTTAATAAGTCATTACAGTCGAGTAAAGTACCCGAATCGTGGAAAAAATTGTCAATATTATCATGTTCATCTTTAAGAAGACAGATAAGGCATTTAAGGTTCGAGTATCAGCCCCTAACTGAAATGTATAATGTATATAAAGCCTAACAGGAGTAAGATAACACGAAGAGTAACACCAGGTGTTCTATTGCTAACAAATTCTAACAATTAATTGCAGAGATAAATCCTGCTATCCGATTTGTCTGCCCCTTTTTTCACGTACTTTAAAAATTTCCTCGTTCTTTCCCTATTTTTTCTTCTACTTATATAATTAGTTTGATAAATTGTATTGTTGTTATTCAACAATACATTGTATAAATTGTTGTTCTAGACTGATTTCTCCATTTCTTACACCATTTGTACAACGCTTTCTTTTCACATGTGAAGTTCTTCAGAGCCATGGTTATTCACTTGGGGGTCGTTATCATTCGATCTAAGCAATTTATGTGTACTAAACTCACCTTATACATTTTGCTTATAATATTTTCATAATGTTATAATTTGAATCTATGTCGTAATCCTGTGTCACGTCCCCAGCGGTGAGGGACGTAGCGTCCACCGCCTATGGTTAGGTTAGGTTAGGTTAGGTTAGGTTAGATTAGGTTAGGTTAGGTTAGGTCTGTCCAATCTATCCTTCCCAAGAAATCCCTTTGTTCATCAAAATCAAGATTTTTTGGAAAAGGAGAGTCTTCTCCTACACATATATTCCATTCTACGTTAATTCCCTATTTCCTTATGATCATTGTTCCCTAGCTCATTCCCTATTTTCTTGTGATCACTGTACCCATAGCTCCCTTAATAATTCGATGACATTTACTTGTTTTTCCCTGTTTATTAATTGCTTCGAAAACAATTATCAACTAATTCTATAAAAAAATCTGCGTTTGGTATTCCCTGTTTTCTTAAACCAATTTATTCGGCAAAAATTAAAGCTACCCATAACACAAACCCTGACCTACATGTTCTATATATTACATCCCAGTCATGCCTGGCTTCCATTTCAGCTTTAGCGTGAAAGAACTACCTGACGACAAAGGTAGAGGTGGAGCCCAAGAGCTTTGCTACTGGCCTCGACCAGAGACTCACAGAAGGCTGGGCTTGACGGGGTGAACTGAGGAAGCAAGACGTCAGTACAATAGGGGAAGAAACAAAAAAAAGTAGACACGGTTTGAGACTCCTACATCCCAGGTGAATGGAAAAGGAGACATGATCATTATATACAAGATTCATAAACATTGAAAAATGGGGGAAATAAAGTGAATATGGTCCAGAATGAGCCTTAGTGAAGAAAAAGGAGTGACCTCACGTTTTCAGTGAGTATTAACAAGTGATATATAAGTTTAGAGGTGATTTTGTGAATTATTTTTGCTGGCATATACCAGTACGGGCCTCGAGCCTCTGACTGACTCGCTGAAAACCCTAAAACACAGAGAAAGAAAAGTCTATAAAGCTGAGAGGCTCCACCAGCTCATCCCCCCCACACACCCACAGAGCTCACGGAGACGAGTTCGCAAAATGCACTCTGGATTCAGACAAACAAAATCGCACACTGAGCCACACCCCCGAAAACTATATATGAACCGCCCTCCTTTAACGAAAGACGTAAAATAAATTGGAAGGGTGGAGAGGGAGAATGTGTGTGCGGGGGGGAGAGCGTGCGCGAGTGCCTGAACCACGCTGATGTTAGGATACTAACGTGAGAGGAAGTGAGAGGAAGGAAGCGGAGGAAGCGTGTGTGTGTGGGTGTTGCTTTGGGGGGTGGGTAGTTGTGTGGGTGGCGGCGGTGTGGGTGTTGGGGGGGTGGTGGCGGCGGTGCGGATGAACCATGTTATTGGGAGAAGGGGGGTTAAAAGAGGGGGGTTGGGGGTGGCATAGTGGAGAAGGGGGGTGGGGTGTGATGATGGGGTTAGGGCTGGAGAGAGGCATCCCTGAGCCAAGCCTCAGTTACCCGGACGAGGCCGTAGGGAGAGTAACGGTCGCTTCCCGCCCGTCCCGATCACTACCCAGCGACGGGGAGGTGTACCGTACTTCCCCCCCCCCCCCCACACACATACTGTACCGTACTTACCATGGGGTACCATCGTATTGATCCACCACAATGATATTCACGTAAAAAAAAAAGAAAGCCTGTGTATACACTTGTTCAATACACAGGAACTGTTCAAAGCCTGTAGTGTGGTAGTTGGGTCATCCTGTGTTTGCAACAATGAAGTGGTACTGTAGTTAACGAAACGGTGAGATGCTACTCAACAGATTTGATTTCAGTCTCGACATGATAATAAATTAAAGTTTGAAACTGATGATTTACAACATTTCTTATTTCTCGGGCCATAATTTAGACTCACAGAAGTGTTCATAAATCCTGTACAGTCTTGAGAACGGAGCAAAGAAACACAGCCAAGAAGCGAACTCCCCGCAAGTTGTAACTCGAAAACATTCTCGTTAAAAGCTGCAGAGAGAGAGAGAGAGAGAGAGAACTCACAAGATGAACCACAACGACCAATCCACGTCTAACGAGGCACCTTGACTGGTGTCGTCGGATCATGTGGTGCCCGACCAACATGCCCCTCACTCCCACATATCATGTGATCGAGTGTAAACAGAAAATAGCACAGAGGACTACACCCATCTCTCTTAAATAGAAAGGTTTGGGACATTTTTTTACATAAAAGGTTTATAATGGTATACACAATGTGATGTAAAGGATGTAAATATGTGTAAATGGGTAAATAGGTTGCCGGCAATTGACTGATTATTTTGGAGGGAAGGGAAAGGGGGGTGGGGGCAGAATTAGGCCCTACCTAAATGCCAATTGCAAAGATACCATGTCGACGGATCTCCATCTCCTGCCTCAATGCTCACCGCGGCCCAGACGAAGCTCCTTAGCTCCTCTCTAGGGCCATAATGCCCTGCAATATTATGCAACTCAGGGCCATGAGAGGGGGACCTCATATGTGAACACATGTCCCCCCCCTGATGTGAGCCACTGTTTAGCGGGGCGCTGATGTGCACTATCTCGCTCTCCGTGCAGCCAGGGGAGAGCGAGATAGTGTATGCCCATTTGTATGTATGTATGGGGGGATAATATTAATTATAATACTTTTTGTATATCAGGGGGGTAAGTATGAACGTCATTTAAATATATCAGGGGTTGTATGGATGTTACTTAAGTATAGCCAGGGGTTGTATGGATGTTACTTAAGTATAGCCAGGGGTTGTATTATCGTTATGAAATATATCGGTGGGGGGGGGGGGGTAGGAAGAACATGACATAAGAATGTCACTTAAGTGTCAGGGGTTACCTTGAGGTGCTTCCGGGGCTTAGCGTCCCCGCGGCCCGGTCGTCGACCAGGCCTCCTGGTTGCTGGACTGATCAACCAGGCTGTTGGACGCGGCTGTTTGCAGCCTGACGTATGAGTCACAGCCTGGTTGATCAGGGGGGGATAGTAAGAATGTTCACTGTTTATATTAAGGGGTAATAATGTTCCTTACTTATATTAGGAGGTAATAAGAAGTCCAATTAAATATATCAAGGGGGATATTAGGAGCGTCATTTATTGTATCAGGGAGGTTATTTTCCTGAGATGATTTCGGGGCTTAGTATCCCCGCGGCCCGGTCCTCGACCAGGCCTCCTTTTTGTTACATACCCTCCAGGAAGCAGCCCGTAGCAGCTGTCTAACTCCCAGGTACCTATTTTACTGCTAGGTAACAGGGGGAATCGGTCGGGGTGAAAGAAACTCTGCCCATTTGTTTCCGCCTCCACCGGGGATCGAACCCGGAACCTCAGGACTACGAATCCGAAGCGCTGACCACTCAACATCATTTCTCAATCATGGCGGTCTAATCTGCATATATTAAACAGTTGACTAGTTTCAATCTCTTCCAATCTCCAATCCCCACTATGTTTATATAGCCATAAACAGCCGCGTAAGGGCTTCGGAGCTCGCGAACTGTGTATAATCCGTGTAAATAGAGCAACTTTGATTGAGGAAAGATGTACAGGTTTCGTAATTGGTTGCCTAAACGTTTTGACCACTCCTGGGATAACGTTGCAGACGGGTTGCAATCATTATACCACCTGCTCGAGCCTTAACAATAACATGAACGGGGATAAAACCTTACTTCATTACAGGGTTTCATTATTTGCGAAGTGTTTACACACCTGACCGTTATATTTCACACACCTGGATACGGCTGTTATATTCCACACACCTGGATACGGCTGTTATATTCCACACACCTGGACACGGCTGTTATATTCCACACACCTGGACACGGCTGTTATATTCCACACACCTGGACCCGGCCATTATATTCCACACACCTGGACACAGTCGTTATATTAAACACACCTGGACCCGGCCATTATATTTCACATACCTGGACACGGCCGTTATATATCACACACCTGGACACGGCCGTTATATTAAACACACCTGGACGATCCCTCGCAGTGTTCAAGTGAGAGAACTCGATCACCACCTCCAAAGGATTTGCCTGCTCAACCAGGCTGTGAATCAGGCTGCAAGCCGCCGCGTCCAACAACCTAGTTGACCAGTCCAGCAACGAGGAGACCTGGGCGATGACCGGGCCTCGGGGACGCTAAGCCCCGAAACTATCACAAAATACGCCCGCAGTTCTACCTACTGAGCTGCCAACGCCCCACAATAAGGATCTCCAGAGACATGGCACTGCTGTCCAACTGAGAATTTTGGCCTTCCCGCGGGAGTGCCAGTTTGGCGCGAAGGTGTTTGGTGCGCCACGTAAGAGTCATGTAAATTGTATTCATTTGGCACCCAGTTGGGCGTCTCTGGGATCGTATCTTATTGTGGGTGCTGGTGGGTAAGTTGGTAGGACTGCTGGATGCTGCTTTTGCGGTATATAGTTCGAGGCTCGGCGAGTTCGATCAAATGAAATGTTACTTGACAGCAAAATAATCCGAGCGCTTTCGCGAGTTAACACACTTTTTAGTGTTAACTCACAGTGTTTAGTGTTAACAGTGAACAGGTGACACATGGGTGTAACTTTACCTTACCTCGCGATGATTCCGGGGCTTAGCGTCCCCGCGGCCTGGTCCTCGACCAGGTCTCCTCGACCGACTAGGTGTGGAATAAACCCACACCCAGGCTGTGGGTGTATTCCACCCCCTCCCCCCACACATCTGATTAGATCGAGAAACCCCAAGATATCTCCTCCGCTTCTGTGCCAGGTAAGTTACGGGCTCACCATAGCCCCGTACTACTTGGAACTTGTTCCGAGTAGCTGAATCTATAACAACAACCAAGATAATATCGAATAATGGGAGTAACGTGATGGGAGGTGTCCACAGCAGTTCATCCATCCTTCTTTGAATCAAGTATGAAGTATGAAGGCCATCTGCAGCTATATCCAATTATCTTTTGTAATATGAATAAAATTATCTAAATGTTATTAATTAAAAAATTGGTTAAAACCATTATTATTAACATCCAGTGAATTTTTTGTCAATTTAAGATATGTATCGAAATCATTTATTAACATTAATTTTTTTCTGTAGCGAAAATGAACGAGTCATGAAATGATTCTAATGCTTATGAAGCTCTGCCAAAAAACTATTTATATTACAATTTTACGTTTTACTGTCACGTGGTTTCGTTATCTTAATTATACGTTTTGCTTATGACTTAAAAAATTAAATCAAGACATGTTTTAATTAAAATTAAATAATCTAGCCCCACTCATTAAGTTCACGAGGAAAATGGAACAAAACAATTCTTTACCATTCTAAGATGCTTTAAATTACTAACTTGAAAATATTTTCAAGGTTTCCGTATATACAGAAAAACAACAAATATTGGATCTGTTGTAAAGTTTTACACATCTTATAATCAACGCGAAAAACAAGCGGTGTTTTCTTCAATATTATTTAGGGCTATAACGATATGTAGTCCTTCGTTTATAGATGATAAAATTAGTTTCATATATCGTATAGACTTCAATGTAAAATACCCTAATTGAAAAAAGGCTAGTCAAATTGCGTGCAATGCTTCCTATATTAATAAAACAATATATAATGTAGCATTCAGGAATTTTCATGCCATTAAAACTTTGTGATTAAAAATTCCCCCGAGTTCCTGTAATTGTTGGGTGTAAAATTCCACGCAAAGACTGTAATAAATTGTATGTTTATCAAACTGGCCAACGCCAAGACCGGTGAGTAACAGAACACACATAAGCATAAAAAAAGTTCAAGTGCATTGTTTGTGTTCACTTAACAGATTGTAATTAATCGACTGACTGGATTAATTCAGTCATAACTCGAGATTATAACTCTATTAATGAAAGAAATATTATTGAAGCTTCATTTAAAATAAAGTGGTGAATTATTTAATAGAAACTCATGAGTCGAGCATTATATAAAATATATTAATAATTCATAAAATTAGTGAACAGTATAACACTATATAATGGGTAATGGCCTATATAAGCCTGCAGATGGCCTGCTCCCAGAAGTATGGGCGAAGGTATACTTCAGCATCATATCACTTCTATTATATGATGTTATGTGTATGTTTCTTGATCTACTGAGGTGTGGGGGCTGAATACTCCCACGCCACTGTGTCAACCGTCTCCTCATAAATATGGTAAATAACATAGGCGCTGGGATTATTTCGGAATATTTCTCCTTTGTGGATACTTATACATAATTTAATGACGTATTTTTGTGATATTACACACACACACACACACATATATATATATATATATATATATATATATATATATATATATATATATATATATATATATATATATATATATATGTATATATAGAAGAAGGGGGACCCATAGCCTCGGAGGAAACCACGCGTATATATATATATATATATATATATATATATATATATATATATATATATATATATATATATATATATATATATATATATATTACATTATATAATGTGTGTGTGTGTGTGTGTAAACACAATGTCTTATCCACAATAGATGAACGGGGCATTCCAATTTTATCGAAATCTTAAGCATATTAATATATCGCAATATATTCCAATTACCCTATCTCCGGAAATAATATACACGTATATAAAAATACATTTCTTAATTTGAGAATTTAATTATGCTTTATCTTATTACACGTTTGACATATATATGATTGAAAATTTAATCAACAGGGCTATATAACCAGCTGAAATGGAAATTAATATGTAAAACCTCAGTGGTATTAACTCCCCCTTGGACAAGAATATCGAACCCTGGACAAAAGTTTCGGATTCTTACACAAAGGAATAAGTCCAGCTCAAAGGATAGCATCCTGTACATAGGTATCGAACGCTGGAAAAATTTCATCGAACCCTGGGCAAAGGAATCGTACACACTGGACAAAACATCGCACACTGGTCAAAACATCGCACACTGGACAAAGGACAAAGGACAAAGGTGAAGACATTGGGTTGGGGAAGTGGCTACACCCAGGACGTGTTGACGGCGGCGGATCACAGTTAAGAAATATGAAAACACTAAGGAAACAAAACTACGACACCCACCTTTTAAACTGAAGAAGGAGTGAGAGAGAGCATGTGACGGGTGTGTGTACTCACACGTTGTGTGTGTGTGTGTGTGTGTGTGTGTGTGTGTGTGTGTGTGT